AAACTGTTGCTATGCAAAATAGCTCTCAATGGCCTGGCTCCATTCATCCCTTCCCCCTGGGGGGGGGGGGGGGGTGAGGACATCTTAATATGTCTCTCCAATATTTCTATACACTTTGAATTCTGGACACCTTTCTAAATCTTTTTTGGGGGCCCCCCTGGCTGCACCCTGTATCAAGATGAGGCACCCAGGCCACTTCCAGCGAGTCCCCCAGAGCTGATCTCTACACGGCCATCTTATGCAGAGGAATCAGTGGGGCCAGAAGTTTGGCCCAGCTGTTGAAAAGAAGATGCTACAGAGATGAGAGGTTTAGCATTTAATCATCTTGTCTAGCAAAAAGCATCTCTGATGAGGATCCCCCCCCCTCCCCGCGGCCCTGAGCATGTGCACACAAGCTGCCATCCATCTCGGGAGGGTCATCTTCTGCTCCTGGCCTTTGAAGTGGTTTGGAGGGGGAAGAACAGCTTTCTTCCCACCAGCACGTACGGCGCATGGAGCCGGGACACACTGGCAGGTTACGTGCCGGGAACCGTGGCTTCACTGCCCTGCCTGCTGGGTACTGCACATGTTGGAGAAATCAACCATGGCTCCAAGAGCAGCAGGGTTTTTCCTCCGCCTCTTTGTCCCACCACTTCCCTTAAATGTAATTTAAAAAAAGCAATATGTCTTATGTTCAAAAGGACCCATCTGTGTCCTCTGTCACTTTGTAACATGCGTGGACATGGAATGGTCATGAGAAGTGGAGCTGCTCTTCCAGAGGAGTTGCTGGAACCTCCTGGCACTATAAACGATACCGGGGTGTAAATGAGACAGGGTTGACTGGCCCTGCTCCTCTCTCTTTGCATTTCTTTGGCGAGGCAGGCGCCCCAGGCAGCATCTGCTCTGGTACCTGCAGCTGTGCCATGTGAGCGAGACCCAGCTCTTCAGCAAAGAGGGATTCTCATAGTCAGACAGCTGCTGCTTCCAGGCTGGGGCTTGATTGAAGTTCTTCTGATGCACAAGGATGTTAATAACAATGAACTTCAGAATTGTAGCCAGAGGCCTGGAACTGTGTCACGGTGAAGTAGAACACAGACAGTGATGTTACTGTAGCTTCGCCCTCAGCCTCCCTAATGAGCCCTCACTGCTGCAGGGCAGGACAAAGTTCGAGACTCGTACTGCCCCCTCCCCCAAGCCCCAGCACACAGCCGACCTCTCCCTCCTCCACTGCCCTGCAGGCATCCCTCTGCACGTCCCCTCTGCACTGTCCCCTCTGCACGTCCTCTCTGCACTGTCCCCTCTGCACGTCCCCTCTGCACTGTCCCCTCTGCACGTCCCCTCTGCACGTCCTCTCTGCACTGTCCCCTCTGCCTCTCACCACGACGCCCTACTTTCTTGCTCTCTACTCACATGCCCGTCCCACAGGCCACATCTACTCTTGAGTTGGAACCTTCCCCAAGCATCCATCCACCTCCAAGCTTATCATTTTCTTTCTTAAAACTGCTCCTGAGCTTTGCATATTCTTTTATTAATATGCATGTTATTTAGATGTCGGCTAGGGCCAATCAGCTCCTTAAGATCCGGATAAGATTGGATTAGAACCCCGTCTGAGTCCATTTGGGCTGTCTTAACAAAATACCACACACCAAGTAGTGTGTAAACAACAGAAATGGGCTATTCACTGCACTGGAGGCTGGAAGTCGAGGAGCAGGCACCAGCCTGGTGCGCGCTGGTGAAGGCCCTGCCCCAGGTTGCAGACTGCTGACTTCTCGCCGTGTCCTCATGCACTACAAGGGTGCCCTGGGTCTCCAGATCCCCTTTGACAGGGTATTAGTGGCATCCATGGGCTCAACCTAATGACCTCATTGCCTCCCAAAGGCTCTGTCCCCTAATAGCATCTTGTGGTCATGAAATTTCCACATGAATCACGAGGAACGCAAATAGTCAGACCGTAGCAAGATCCTTCTTCGGTTGGTAGAAATTTCAGTACTCTCCCCATGCTCGGTCAGGTGTCTTCACATTTTCACGGTCACCTTTGGTTTTGAAATTCTATGTTTGAAGTCTTATAATTCAATCTGAATTAATTCCATTTATACATGGATTCACCATTCCAAAGAATGTTTTGGTCTCTTCATGGGTAGATCTAACTAAGCCTTTTTCTTTTTCTGTCCACTGCACCGTCATTCTCGGCCTCTGTGTGAGAGGTGCACTTCGCTAAAATTTTTAGAGGTGGAGGAAACTTATTTTGGAGCAGCAACTGTCCAAACCTGTCCACAGCAGAACCCAGGTTTTAAAGCTGTTTGTTGGCATAGATTTCCTCTGAATCCTTAAAGAAATTTCTAGGTCTTCATCCAGTTCCATTTGGTCAAGCTCAGGAAGCTGTCCTGGCTGGGGTGTACAGGGGATGGGGGTAGAGGGTGACTTGTCAGCTTGAGCTTCGGTGGCTTTTGATGGCTAAGTATGTGTTGGCCATGCTTTATTTTCTCTGTCCTCTGTCCCCAAAGCCTTCAAGAAGTCCTCCTCCACGTCTCAGGAACCGTGGCACAACGCCGCAGCCATTCGGGGGGTGGCTATGCCGCTCCCATCGGAGGAGCACGTGCAGGGCCTGACTCAGTGAAGAGAGTCTGATGGCGACCACCCACGGGGAACCCAGGCCCGTCTTAGTTCATCCAAAACCAGGGATGTTTCACCCTGGGGAGTGGGGCCCACAGATGGCTCAGAGGTACCCCAAGTGTCAGATCTCAGTCAGTCACCGGGAGTGGGATGAGCAGTTTCCTCAAAGCCTATCTTGCCTCTTTGAAAATGTCGATCTCGGGATTTTCACAGTCTCTCTCCTGATACTTTGTCCTAGTTCATCCCTTTCCTTGTTGGTCTCCTTTTGTGACATCGCATGTTTCCTTCATGGCGGTGGCTGGTTCCTTTTCGAGTCTGTGGGCTCAGCTGAGTGGGTGGGAGGGAAGCCGACGTGCATTGAGCACTGGGGACATGAAGGGCGGACATGAAGTCTCATCCCAAGATTACAGCTATTCTCCCTGGGTGGTTCATTATTATTCCAAAGTTACAGACATAAAACCTGAATCGCAGAGAGAGACGACAAGACTGGCCTGACGTTAAGTGTGTGGAAAGAGCCCACATTCTATCCGGACCAGACTGCCTGCCTAATTCCTGGTTGTGCCCATTCTGTCCAGCACTTCGATTACTGCCTCTGTAAAGGCCCTGTGTTGCCGTGAACTATGGTTCAGCCCAAGGTCAGGGCAGTAGGGGTCCCCCCAGCAATTCTGAAAGGAAAGCACCTATTCCTTCCTCATTGTTTTTAGCATCCTTGCTCTTTGCAGATTCCCCACTGGAGTAGAATGTGGTGACCTGTGTTACCCTGTACCACTTAATACCACCCCTGTGACGTCATCTTGGACCCAGTCCATAATCCTTTTCCAGGCCTATCTAGGCATAAAGACTCGTACTGAGTGCAGCCCAGAGGAGCCCCACACCCATACCTCCAGAAGCTCTGCCATTGGCTGTGACTACTCCGATAGCTCTGACGGGGAGGACTTGCAGGGCGCTGTTTGCATTGGAAGCAGAACCAGGCGATACCAAGATCTCATTGCTGGGCCTCCTCCATCGGTCGTGCTGGCCACATCTGCTTCCCAAAAGCTGGCACTAGTCCTGCTGGTCTTGTTCCCCACTCTGTGCCTGTCTTTAAGGGTAAACATCTTCTCCAGACAAGACGGGGTGGATTAACAGAGGGGCAGGTCCTCCTAGTGCAGTGGGAGGCCATGCCTCTTTGGGGGAAGAGCTCGCCCCCTTTCTTCTCTTCTAGCCCCCCATCAGGGAACTGGGCCAGCTTCTCCTTAACTGCACAGATTTACAGTCCTCTCACACCAGCTCATGTTCTCTGTTTACTCTACAGTCACCTTTCTTATTTGGCCAACAAGAAAAAGTTTAAAGTGATTGCCTGCTTATACCTGAAATGCTTCCAGACTGCAGACTTCTTTTGTGCTTGCAAGATTTGCATAGAAAGAGAAGGCTGAAAGCTTTATAAGTTGAGAGTTCAGACTTTCACTAGCTCTAATGCTAGTCAGCTAAGGTTCCAGTGCCTTCTAAATACAACTAAGTGGGTTTTAGCAGAGAGATACAACTAAATATTTCACCATTTATTCATCTTTCAAATTTGTTGATTGGAAACAGCCTTAGTAGTCCCTGGACTACTCCAAATTCTGACTTGGGGTCTTCCCCTTACCTCTTTGGGGAATGAGCCGTAATATCTTTAGACACATTATAAAGATGTCTGCTGACTTTATTTCCTAAACCACCCCAAATGAGGTGTTTTATTTAAAGGGAAAGAACACGTGTCTTCAAGCTGACAGAGTCCTCCTGGTTTTACAGAAGGAACGTATGGTTTTGTCCATCGCTGTGCAGAGAAGCCGGGCTCCCGCCTGGAGCAGCACTGGAGGAGAGAGGCTGTCAGGTGCTGTAGGAAACGGCGTCTGCACAGTGTTTCCGACGGGCCGCGCGCTTCCATTGTGTGGGTGTTGGGCCCGGCGGCAGCAGTCTCCTTTCTGAGTGTTAGAAATTCTCTTTCTTGATACTGATGTCTGGAGTATGGCAAACACCATTTTCAACACACGAGATAAACAGTGTAGAGTCTTAAGGGGCCTTTATGTTCCACACTTGGTAGAATTGGAGATGACATGGTTTGGCCCTACGTAAAGTAGAAGTACTCATGTGAGAGAAAAGGAAAGATGGACTTTGTATTTTCAGTTGGCAAAAAGATTCATGTATTTTTTCCTACAAAATGTCTCCCACTGCTCAGAGGAAAATGTCTCGAGTTTCGCTGTTGGACTTACGGGGGTCGTTACTGGCCTAGTTGCAGTGGTTCCACTGAATTCTTTGACTGGCCAACCTGCTCAGACGCAGTGTCTTGAATGGTTTCCTTTCCCTCCCGCATGGTTGCAGTTCCTTCTCCTAAGGGGCTTCTGTGCGTCCGACACTGAATCTGTGACTCTGTCGCTTTTGCATCGTAGACTTCCAGGTCCTACCGCAAGGGTATCCGCTGCAGGCAGCGACGCCAAAGCTCGCGGAGGGTCAGCCACTGCTAACAACCGACGCAGCCAAAGCTTTAACAACTATGACAAGTGCAGACCAGTCACCTCCCCACCCCCACCGCCACCACCAAGCAGCCACGAGAAAGGTGAGTCACCTTTGGGGTTCTTTTTGTCGTCTTTCTTATAGCAGATCTAGTTCCTATGGGTGAGTGAGTTTAGTCGGGGGTGGCGTTGCTGATAGGGTTGTGGGAATGGGTCCCAAGGACGTACTTGACTGGCAGGAACTTTGTTAGCAGAAGCATTAATAACGTGGGGAAATACTTGTCACGTAGATTCATAGTTGCCGGCAAGAACCACTATATTTGTGTGGGTGGGGCCCGTAAGAAACCTGGTACAGGTAGAAGTAATGTAGATTTGCAAATTAAAAATGCATGTTTGTAGAACATGCTCTGTACAGCAGGTGGTTTTCCAGAAATGCAAGTTTCTTGAGGTTTGCATTTTGTGAGCTAATAAGCTTTTCATCCATCAGAAATGGCCTGAGGAAAGTGGCAAGGGAGTTTTGACCCTTTGAAAAGAGTCAGAAATGTGGGTTGGCTAAATGAAGATCTTGACTACATTTAAGGAGTAGGCAACGTTGCTCTTGGTGTTCTGATGATGGAACTTTTACCAAAAAAGGATATGCTTTTTACCACACACAGCACTGAGCTTTTAGGATGGAGATAAAAAGTGAGTAGCCCTGTGGGGACTCTGGCACAGAGGCAGTCAAACCAACTTTTGCTTGCTTCAGCGTGTCTCTTGTTAGGCATTGGAGAAGATGAGAGAAACTAAGGCAGCTTAGAAGATTCTTCAGTAAGAGCAGAGCTCCCCTCCAGTTCTCCCAGGCAGAGTGGGCTGCACTTGTTGGGGGGACATGCTCAGGTCTCATGGGCGCTTTGCAGGGTTTGTCCTGCATGTGCCCTCTTTTTTGCGAGACCCAGGAGAGCCACCTCCCACTCCCTAAAGTGTCCCAGGAGCCTGGACAGCCCTCTGACTGCCAGTGAAATGAGAACATCCCCCACCCACCCTCCAACTCGGGATGACTCGGTGTAGTGGTGCTGGGTGTCCCCTTCCCCAGAGTAGCAGAGAAGACATGAAGAAAGTTTACAGGAGGCTGACAGATACACATGGCAGAAAGTTTCCCAGACAAGGCATTGGGAACTAACTCTGCAGGTAGCAGTCAAGCTATCATGTCTCAGCCAGTCGAGACTCTGTGATCCAGCCCTGGGCTTCTGCCCCAAGCAAGCCATCCTTCCTCTTCTCTCTCTTCCCCTCACCTCCCTTCCTTATCTTCACCATATCCTAGTGCTTTTTTAAGACACTTTTTAAAAGATTGTATTTATTTATTTTTGGAGAGAAGGGAAGGGAGAGAGAAAAGAGGGAGAGAAACATCTATCGGTTGCCTCTGGCACATACCCCACCTGGGGACTGAGTCTGCAGCCCAGACATGTGTCCTGACCTGGACTTGAACTGGTGACCTTTTGCTTTGTGAGATGACGCCCAACCAACTGAGCCACATTGGTCGGGGCCCAAGTATGTTCTTTTTAAAAGTGCGTTTAAATTACAGAAATAACCTATGCTTCTAAGATGGTACAAGTATGTATCGAATAAGAGTTCTCTTTTGTATGCTCCCTGAGGTTTTCCAATATGAACTACCCTATGCGTATCCTTTAGCACCCCCAGCATATGTTTATGTGTGGGTACACGCCCATTGAAATATATAGAAAGGTTTCTGTTTTTTGTATAAATAAACAGCTACATTTTATCGAGTCCCTACTATGTGTCTCATTGAATTCCCCCAAATCACCTGTGTTGATCCCCACTTCACAAAGGATGATGTGAAGGCAGAGAGAGGTTGAGCACTTGCTGAGTTCGCCCCAGAGACAGAGGTGTAGTTGGGAGCGGGCCCAGGCGCTTTGGCTCCAGAGCCGTGATTAATACTGTGCTTTTTCCTGGACGAGGCAAAGCAGTGCTGGAGGCCTTACCTACTGAGAGGGCTGGTTACAGATGCTCAGGATGAGCAGCGGGGAGAGTTGGAAGATGTGAGGGGAAGCCTGTGCCCCATGTCCAGCCGGCCCACCCTTGTCCCATGGTCATTCGAGGAGAAACTCTCATATATTAAGTGGGCTGAAGGATGGATGTGAGACCTTACCTGGGTGTCCAACCTTTTGGCATCTCTGGGCCACACTGGGAGACGAGGAGTATGTCTTGGGCTGCGTGTTAAATACACTGTGACACGTAATCACAAAAAAAATCTCAGTGTTTTAAGTAAATTTACGGTTTCGTGTTGGGCTGCGTTCATAGCCATCCTGAACCACGTGTGGCCAGCGGGCTGCAGGCTGGACACCCCTGAGTGAGACCAAAAGATTGAAAAAATCCAGAAAAAGGTCCTCGTGGATGGAACAGGTGTGGAAGGATACATGGTCAGTGGCTGAGACCGTGTCCTTGAGCCTGTCACAGATTCAGGCCACTCAGGCAGCCCAGCCGACTGCTGCCCGTCAGTGCTGGGACAGCCACCAGCCCGCCTCTGTCCGGGGCAGGAGCTGCTGCATGTGGGCCAGGCAGCCAGGGGCCCCGAGGCCTCCGAACAGCCCCTGCTGTGAATCCAGGAGGTGTGGGCTGAGGGGAAGACTGTGGTGTCAGAAGAAAGGAAAGAAGATAGGGACTTTGATGTTTACTTTCTTACTTGACCATCACAAACATTCTGTGAAGGAAATAATATTAACTTTATTTTACAGAGAGAGGACATGAAGCTAATTGAGATTTCGTAGCTTGTCCTCCCTGGCCATTGAGCACTAGAGTTCATATCCAGGTTCAAGTCTGGATTTGAGCTCTGGCTCTGGCCTGTCCCCTGGGTGTCTGTGATGAGGATCAAGTGAGGTAGCACACGTGAGACTGTGTTGTGAGCAGTGGTGCTCACAAAGCCTTGTTAAGGATTCTGAGTGATCACAGTAATGGGAGCTGGGATAGAGCAGGCCTGGGGCAGGTCTGGAAATTTTTATACTCAGACTATTCCACCATCCTGAGGTGATGAGACAATGTGATTTTTGTATTTTCTACTCCTTTCTTTACGGTCCCTAAGTTCTCCCTCGAGTCTGGTCTCAACTGCAGCTTGAGAGGTAGTTAGCCAGCTTACACACGATACAAAGCATGTGTCGAGGGAGCAGGAGAAACCCAACCTCCTCACCACGTGTAAGACACAGCAGGTACTCGGTGCACGAGAAAGCATCCTTCATCCTGAGCAGTCTTGGAGAGAGACACACTTGTGAGCAGGTAAATCGCAGTCCGGGATAGTCCGTGCTGTGGTCGAGGTATGGACCACTTTCCGGAGAGAGCGAGTTCGTGGTACAGTCTCAGAACCTGTCTGTCCTCAGCGCTCTCGTGTGAGTCGGTCCAGCCCCGACTGTGTTGCGTCCTGGCATTCCACTCCTACGTGAACCAATTTACACGGATTTTTATTTGTAACCCGTTGGCTTGAGAATCCCACACCTAGCAATGGATCTAATCACATCAGTGAATGAAGTGAGAAATTCATCACTGTGTTAATAAGTGACAAAAACATCTCAACACTCAGTCCCCATTTTTAAAAGGAGCTCAGAGGAATAAAAGGAAAAAGTAACAGGCCATTTTTAAAACCCCACAGAGCACTTCATGCTTTTTGGGGAAATGCTAAAGGTTTTTTCTTGACATCATGTCCAAGGATGCAAGTCCCGTCTTGCTAGCATCTGTAAATTTTGTTCCGTTTATAGTGAACCATCACCTGAGTTGGGAAACAGAGGAAAATTTATAATACTTCATAGCTAGAAAAACCCAGGGACTCACCCAGAATTCGTCCCCCTGTTCTGCAAGGTGACCGAGCTTGTCAATTGGTGGTTGGTGAACCAAGTTCTTTATCTGAGTTAGTGGTTAGGAGATGTGACTGAAGAAGTCTCCGTGTCCTGCCATTAACCAGGATCCTGACACCAATTTGCTGTGTGGACTGGATGGGGTGAATTCAGAGGTCCCAGTCACGCAGAAAAGAACATGCTCAGAGTGCCTCTGTCCCTGGGTCCTTTCGTGTGTTCGTTTCCTCACTCTTTATGTCTCCAGCATTGGGCTTATCGTGGTGACAGAGAGAACTGGGGCATAGACTCTGTTCTCTAGGGGCTCCCGGCCTCAGCGGGGGGCCAGTACTCACATGTCTTATAATAGAGATGTGTTCGAAGTTGTGTGGGATGAGCTTAGCCAGGAAGGCTTGGTTGGGGAGGACTTCAGAGAGGTGATGTCATTGGTGATAATTTTCCTCTCCAGTGTTTTGCTGATAGAAAGACAAGGAAAGGCTGGGGAGCAGTGACTCACCCTGCTCTTCTGGTCCAGGGCCAGTCTGAGGACATCTGTGGGGGTCCCTTTATTAGTGTGTGCTTGTCCTGTGGACGGCCTGCAGAGGGAAACTTCTGCAGGGTCATTTCAGGGGTGGGGTGGGGCCTCCTGCTGTCATCAGGAGTCTGCCGTCCCAGAGGTATTGTCCCGGGCCAGGGGGCATGCGGGTGCCTGTCAGTGCCCGGTGGATAATCATCTCTTCAGGAATCAGCTGTGAGGTCACTGTGACCCTTTAACCAGAGCCATAATTGTTTAAGGGCTTAAAATGCCAGCCTAGAGGTCTGAACCAGGAGATGTCATTGAATTTGAAGAATTCCTAGGGGATCCTCTGGAAATGGAACTCAGTGAACCATGAGACTATTTGTTGAGGCCAGGCAGGCAGGGTGAATTAGAAGTGACCAAACTTGGGGACCTCACATGCCACTGGAGGAAAAATAAAACCCCAAAGCCTAGCTAGCATGTGTGGGAGAAGTTGCACCATCGGAAGAGTTCTCTCAGGCAAAAACGGTTCAGGGTCTTGGAATGTAACAGAAGTGTTTACCTTGAAGGCAGGAACTGAGTTTGAGGTCTGGCATTGCCCCTGCCCAGGAGTGTGGCTTTGGGCAAGTGCACTGCTCACCGGGGCCCCTGCTCAGGGGCGCCCCAGCAGACCCACCCTAGGCCACACACGGCACTTTCCTGCTCAGGAGAATACAGACAGGAGTCAGGCTGCTGGCAGGGTCCTTGCGGCTGTGTAATCAGCAGTCCACAC